AAGCAGTGGTATCAACGCAGAGTACTGAGTGACTGAGTTGTTTGTGACGCATTATGATGATGCCCTCAGTATTCAACCAGGGGCGCCATCATGAGAGTAGGAGACTCGAAGATCAGATTCGTCCCTCTTTTTGGGCGTCTGCCTTACCGGTGGACTCGCTGGCAGCTAGTTGGGCCTCATCGAAGACACTGGCGCCACCGGTGGTGTCGTTACCCTCGTCTTCGCGACCGGGAGTGCGCAGGTTCCACTTGGTGATGGCGAAGCGGAAGACGACGTAGTAGATGACGGCGTAGACCAAACCGATGAGGATGAGCAGGAGCACCTTGCCGGGGCCACCAGAAAGCTCCGAGGCCCGTCCGAAGTTGATGATGTAGTCAGTCAGACCTGCCGAGAAACCGAATCCGTCCTTGATGCCCAAGGCGTTGCACAGCGCTAGGGAGGACCCGGTGAGTAGCGCGTGCACCAGGTACAGCGGGAAGGCGACGTAGGCGAAGGCATACTCGAGGGGCTCGGTGATACCGGTGAGGAAGGCCGTCAGCGCTACTGAGATCATGACGCCACCGGTGAGCTTCTTACGCTCTGGCTTGGCCGTGTGGTAGATCGCTAGGGCGGCTCCGGGCAAGGCGAACATCATGATGGGGAAGAAGCCAGTCATGAAAGAACCGGTCCAGGCATTCGTGCCGGACGCACCACTGAAGAAGCAGGTGATGTCACCGTGCAGAGTCTCGCCGGCGGCGTTGGTGCAATTGCCGAGCTGGAACCACGGCAGCGAATTGAGCAGGTGGTGCAGGCCGAAGGGGATGAGGAGACGGTTGATGGTGCCGAATACGAATCCGGTTCCTGGGTTGGACCCGTGGGCCATGATGAAACCGCCGACCTGCTTATTGAACAGCCAGTCGAAGGCCGGGTAAATGATAGCCATGATGACGCCGGCGACGACGGAAGCGGCGGCGGTGACAATTGGCACGAGGCGGCGGCCGCCAAAGAAGGCTAGGTACGTTGGCAGCTTGGTACGGCGGTATTTCTCGTACATTTTGGCCGCGATAAGACCGATGACGATGCCGCCGAGGACGCCGTAATTGATGACTCCGGTCTTCTGCGAGAAATACGGAGCGAGGGCGTGCAGCACGCCTCCTTGGGTCTTGTCCGAGGTACCTGCACCGGTGAAGGTGAGATAGCCGACGAGGGCTGCCAGGGCGGTCGATCCATCGGCCTTCTTGGCGTACCCGACGGCCACACCCAGCGCAAAGATGAGAGGTAGGTTGTCGAAGATTGCGCCGCCTGCACCGGCTAATACGTCAGCGACCGGCTGCATCCATGATGCGTGCTTGGCGAGTCCGTCCGCTCCGAGAACGTCAGCAGACCCGAACCGCATAAGCAGCGCGGCAACCGGCAGGGACGCGATCGGGAGCATGAGGGAGCGAAGCAGTGGTATCAACGCAGAGTACTCGGGTATCTGCCGTTTTTTCTTGGTGCTGGTGGCAACAGCGTCTTTCGCCATAGGAGTTCCTCCACAGTGAGTGCTCATGTTCAAGGGGTGGTATGGACCACTCGCCGAAGTACAGACCACTGAGGCGGCCATGTCAAGACAACGTGCAGAGTTTGTGAACGTCACCATGGTGGGCTTTCGCGGTGATCGGTGCTGGTGGCACTGCGCCCGAGGCATAATTCACCCATGAAGTACGTGACCGTGCGGGATTACCTTGTCGAGCTCATCGACACCCGCTTATCGGTCGGGGATGTCGTGCCTAGTGAGCGGGAGCTTGCTGAGCGGTTCGGTATCTCGCGCATGACGGTCCGCCAGGCGGTTGATTCGCTGGTGAGTAGCGGAATGCTGGAGCGTCGTCGCGGCAGCGGTACCTATGTCAGAGCTCCCAAAGTGCATGTGCAGTCGCGCATCTCGTCTTTTAGTGAGGAGATGCGTCAGCGCGGCATGATCCCAGACACCCGAGTGCTGCGCGATGAGGAGATCTCCGCCGCTCCTGACGTGGCTGTGTGGCTAGGGATTGAGCCGGGGGAGCCAGTCCATTACATCTACCGCGTGCGGCTAGCTGACGGTGTTCCGATGGCCGTCGAAAGGACCTGGATCGCTGCCCGAGTGATGCCAGATCTGTTGACCGATGGCGTTCCGGCGAGTATTTATGGGGCGATGGCGGCAGCTGGGCTAGTTCCTACGTGGGGCGAGGATGCGATCGAGGCTGTCAGCGGTGACGCGCTGGTCTGCGAGCACCTGCAGATCCCCGTCGGGTCGGCTGTATTGGCTATCAACCGTCGTACCTACGCCGACGATACCGCGATCTCTTATTCCCGATCTGGTACCGAGGGGATCGTTACAAACTATGGGTTCCGATCTCTGGTCCACACAGAACCCTGTATCCACCTCGAGGAGGTTCACGATGAAGCGTGTCGAGCACATCTTGGCGGCCTTGGGTGGAGTCGACAATGTCGTGTCGATCGAGCCATGCGTAACCCGGCTACGGTGTCAGGTTCGTCGTTGCGAGCAGGTCGATGAGCAAGCTTTGCGCCGGGCTGGAGCGCACGGGGTCACCGTGCAAGGACATAGCGTTCAGGTTATCGTCGGCCCGGACGCTGACCTGCTGGCTTCAGATCTGGAGGACTTATGGGAAGAAGATCCGAATCCTGACCGAATCTTGACGTTCGGACGTCTGATGGAGTTCAGTGTTAGTTGTCTGGACCACTTAGGAGATGGGCCAGTATTCGTTCGAAGATCCTCCATGGCGGAGTTCATCTCGAACCAGAACAAGGAGACATCATGAGCAAGGCAGAACAGATCCTGGCAGCCCTTGGCGGCGACGACAACATCGACGACCTCGAGGCTTGCATCACCCGACTGCGCGTCGAGGTCGACGATCCGAGCCTCGTTGATGAGCCTGCGCTCAAGGCTGCTGGTGCCTTCGGCGTTTGTCCAGCAGGGTACGTCCGTTCAGGTCGTTGTTGGCCCCGAGGCCGACACTCTGGCCGAGGACATTGAGGATCTGCGCTGATGACCGCTATCGCATCTCCTCTCGACGGCACCCTGATGCCGTTGTCCGAGGTTCCTGATCCGGTCTTTGCGCAGGGTCTCGTGGGGCCCGGTGTTGCCCTCGAACCCACGGGTGAGGGCGACGTCACTGTAGTGGCTCCGGTGGCAGGACGCATTGTCAAGCTGCACCCGCACGCTTTCGTCATCCAGGCAGAGGGGTTCGGGGTACTCGTACACCTTGGCATTGACACCGTCCAGCTCGATGGGGAGGGGTTCACCCTTCATGCTGAGGAGGGTCACGAGGTCGTCGTGGGAGACCCACTCATCACCTGGAATCCGGCCGGGGTCGTTGCGGGTGGCCGCAGTGCGGTCTGCCCGATCGTCGTCCTCGACGCTTCCAGCGGAAGGATCGGTGACGCCGCTGTTACCGGGGAGCGGATTGCCTGCGGCGATCAATTGTTCCAGTGGTTGGACGTTCCTGAGCAGGATGCCAATGTCTGTGCCCAGCACGACTGATCGGGCCCGTCGTCACCCTGAGGTAGCGGCTCTGGTAGGGGTTGTCGCCGGAATTTTCTCGGCGATCGTCAAGTTTGGGTGGGAAGTGCCTTTCCCACCGCGCACCCCTGAGCGAAACGCAACGAATCCGCCCCAGCAATTGTTGGAGCAGCTGGGATTCAGCGATCACTTTGCCCACACGCTGGTGTATTTCAACGGCAATGGCTTGCCGGTTATGAGCTTCATCATTCACTTCGGATTTGCCATCTTCTTCGGCGTCGCGTATTGCGTTGGCGCTGAACGGTTCCCGAAAATCACACTATGGCAGGGCGTTGCGTTTGGTGTCGTCGTCTACGTCGTCTTTCACGTCATCGTGATGCCGGGATTGGGTACCGTTCCGGCGCCGTGGCACCAGCCGTGGCAGGAACATCTCAGTGAGTTGTTGGGTCACATCGTCTGGATGTGGAGCATTGAGGTCGTGCGCCGTGACCTGCGTAGCCGCATCACTGGCGAGCCCGATCCGTGGGTTGAGCCATCGATGACAGCAGGACGATAAGGGTAGCGACGCCGACGAATTCGTAGGCGTCGGTCAGGATCTTCTGCCACCATGCTGCGGTGAGTTCTCGGTTACGACCGGCAGGAAACCACCAGACCATCATGTCAGTGTGGCTAAAGCCCAAATGAGGGCTAGAACCTGCTGGCAACGACGACGGTCGGCTAGTCCGGCGACGATGATTAAGGACCCCCATACCCAGTGGTGCGACCATGACACGGGACTCACCAAGCATCCGCACAGCCCGGCGCATAACAGGGACCACACCTGGTCAGCCCCACTTTCTTGCCACAACCGCCGAGATGCAATACCGGCAAGTGCGCAGCACAGCGCGACTAGAACTAGCCACACGAGTGTGAGGTTGCCATGGCCTAGGCGCAGCAACATGCCCGAAAGTGATTGATTGCCCGCCCAGGTGAGCCCACCCAGACGGTTCGGCGTGAGCATGTAGTGGGTCCAGTACTCCCAAGATGCTGTGGGCATCACCGCGAGCCCGATGGCGATCGTGACTAGACCAGCCGCGGCGGCTCGAAGCGCTGCCTTGAATTGACCCGTGACGAGATACCAGAGGGCGAAGATGCCCGGAGTGAGCTTGAATCCGGTGGCCACTCCGACCCCCACCCCGCGCCACCTCCGAGGCAGCAGGAATACGTCAATAACGACGAGGGCGGCTAATTGCAGGTTAACCTGTCCATAAACAAAAGTTTTCCCAATGGGTTCGCTAAAGTTCAAGACTGCGACGAAGATGGCCGTCAGCAATGGCTGAGGCTTGTGCCCGCAACGGCGCCAGATGAGATCAATCATGATGGCAAGAGCGATTGCACTGACACCATAGTGGAGGATCGTTACCGGCAGAGACGGAATCAGAGCTAATGGGGTGAGGGCGATCGCCGCGAAGGGTGGGTAGGTAAACCCCAGACCACTGACCGATGACGCAGTGTATAGCGCTTTCGGATCATTCAACATAGCGCGTACGCAGTCGCGGTATATCTTTAGGTCGGTTGGGCGCGGCATGGCCAACGTCCACGTCACCGTCGTCATGATGACCGCGATTGCTGGCCAGAAGAGGATGAGGCCGGTCGCTTCCCGGAGATGGGGCTATCGTCTTGAAGGGTCACTGATCCTCCACAATGTCGGCGGTCTCGAGCCACTGTTCCTCAAGGGAAGTCATCGGCGCGTCGAGTTCGTTGGCCTTCGTCTGGAGATGTACCAAGGCTTGGTAGTCGTCGGCTTTGGTGGCCATTTCCTCATGCAGGGCAGCCAGCTCATCGCGGACCTTTCCCATCTGACGATCGAGCCTGTCCATGTCCTTGCGGGCCTGGCGTAGCTCGGCGGCGCTTATCTTTGGCTCGTCGGCCCGGGACGTACTGCCTACCCGGCTTGATTTCGAGGGGCCGGTTTTACGGTCGCGGCGGTGCTCTAGATATTGGGAAATCCCCCCGGGCAGGAGCGCTACCGTGCCATCTCCCATGAGAGCCCAAACTACGTCGCAGACCCGTTCCAGGAACCATCTGTCATGGGAAACGACGATCAGTGTGCCGGGCCAGGAATCGAGGTAGTCCTCGAGTAGGCGCAGGGTGTCAATGTCGAGGTCGTTGGTCGGCTCGTCGAGGAGGAGCACATTGGGTTCGTCCATGAGGAGGCGCAGCAGTTGAAGACGACGCCGCTCGCCACCTGAAAGATCGCCGATACGGGTAACGAGTTTCTGCCCGGTAAACCCGAATCCTTCGAGGAGATTCAGTGGCGGAGGCATCACGGGCCGGTGGCTAGTTTCATTCTCGCTTTGACGTCGTTGACGGATTCTAGGACGGTCATTGTTGAGTCGAGGTCATCAACTTCCTGACGCAGGTGGGCCAGTCGCAGGGTCTTTCCCTGTTTGACCCGGCCTGAGTCGGGCTTACGAGAGCCGTCAAAGAGGTTGAGCAAGGTGGTCTTACCAGCTCCATTGACGCCGACCAGGCCGATCCGGTCGCCCGGGCCGATCGAGCAGGTCACTTTGTCAAGCAGGGTGCGCTCGCCAAGCTCGTCGGAGGACACGGTGACGGTGACATCGTTGAGGTCCAGCACATCTTTACCCAGCCGTGTCGCGGAAAAGCGTGCTAGCTGTAGCTTGTCGCGGGGCTCGGGGACATCGGCGATGAGGGCGTTGGCCGCCTCGACTCGGTAACGCGGTTTGGAGCTACGGGCAGGGGCTCCCCGTCGCAACCACGCCAATTCTTTACGCGCCAGATTTTGACGCTTGGCCTCGTTGCTGGCGGCGATGCGCGCTCGTTCTACCCGGGCTAAGGTGTAGGCCGAGTATCCGCCCTGATAAGCCTCGACGGTGGCGTCGTGGACCTCCCAGATGTCAGTGCAGATCTCGTCAAGAAACCAACGGTCGTGTGAGACGACGAGCATTGCCACGCCGCGCTCCTGTAGGTGGCGCAGGTGGCCGGCCAACCAGGCCACCGCCTCGACGTCGAGGCGGTTGGTGGGCTCGTCAAGAACAAGTAAGTCGTGGTCTCCGAGCATGATTGAAACCAGCGCAGCCCGCCGTCGTTTCCCCACCGGAAAGATCGGCCATAGCGCGGTCGAGGTCAATATCGGAAAGCATGTCCTCGACGATGGGACGAGCCTCGCGGTTAGCTGCCCAAACGTGGTCGGGTTGGCCTCCGACGACGAGGTCGCGGACGGTCTGATCCCTGCGGGTTTCAGCTTGGGCGAGCACTCCTATGGAAATGCCATTAGTACGCGTCACTGTCCCGGAGTCGGGTTCTAGGGAACCAGTGAGGAGGGCTAAGAGGGTAGATTTGCCGTCCCCGTTGCGGCCCACGACGCCGATGACGTCCCCGGTTGATAGCCCCAGAGACACCTCTGAGAGGACCGTTCGGGTGCCCCAGGACTTTGAGATGCGATCGGCGTTGACGATATTTGTGCCGGCCAACGGAGGCTCAGCGTCCTCGCATGGCGGCGCGAGCGCCCTTCATAGAACTTGGCATTGGGCCCTTAGGAAGCGGCACTTTGGGGCGCATGGCGTCAAGGGCCTTGAGACGATTGACGACCTCGTCCACCTGACTCGTGCTGAGGGTCTTGGGCAGTTTCTTAATGTGCTTGTCGAGGTCTTCTAGCGGTACCTGGCCTTTGCCGTCGCCCATGATGATCGACGTCACCGGAGTGCCGTAGGCGACCTGCTCGTGGCGCTTGGTTTCGGTGGCCAGCAGGTTACGCAGGCCGTTACCGTGCCCCTCGCCGATGAGGACAATTCCGCCCGGACCGACAGCGCGGTGAACGACATCCTGCTGCCGGGTAAACGCGATCGCGGGGGTGGAGGTCCACTTCTTCTTGTCGAGCAGAGACAGGGCAACCTCGGCTGACCCGGTCTGGCCCTTGAACCGGGCATACATGGAACGCTTAGCGCGCCACTGGAAGACCCACATAGCGGCAGCGGCACCAGCAAAGATGCCAACGATGAGCCATGCCCACCACAGATCGGTGAGGATAAGACCGAGGACGGTGAACACCACGACGCCTGCTACAAAGGAGCCAATGACCCACCAGAGGAGCTGAGGATCAACCTGGCGGGTTAGCTTGAACGTCTCGACAAGCTGCTTTCCGGTGCCCCAGTCCTTGGGGTTGTCGGAGTGCTTGCGGCGCTCCTTCTCAGCCTTCGCCTGGGCTTTCTGCTTCGCGGCGAGTTCCTTGGCTGCCTGGCTCTTGGGCATGGTGCGCGGCTCCTCGGGGTCGATGGACGTGTGCGGGACAAATTCCTGAGGCGCAGGTCGCCCCGTGACTAGTGAATTCTACCGCCGGACCATTCCCGTCGTCTCGTCGCAGGTGAGGCAAGGAAGGACTGGAGTCCAAAAACGACACGGGGCCTTCATGCCGGTAGAGCATGGCCGATGCTGGTGCCCATCGATATGGTGTCAGGACGCCAGTTCCTGCAGGTACATACGTTGGAGCCCGTCCGCCCACGAGTCCGTAGGTGACGATTCGAAGAGCACGAGAACACGTCCGTCAGACAACTGGGCGATCGAGGAATAGGCGAAGAGGGTCTGTGGGCTCGTGATGTCGGCGTGACTCACCCATTCAAGTTCGGAGCGCGGTCCGAACGTTCTCGAGGATCGATGGACAACTGCCACATGGGCAATGCCATGTCGACGCCTGCGATCATCTGCTGAGACGACAATGAGCGCAGGGAGCTGTTCCCCGGTCGTAGGTGATGCGATGGTTTGCTTCAGCATGAGCGCGGAGACTTGGCATGCGACGCCTTGGTCGTCGTCGCCGAACGCGGAAGTCAGCGTACTCCAGGAATGGCCGCCATCCACGCTCTCGGCGGTCAGCACCTTCCCACCGGAAGAAGCGGAATGTCGGTTGAAGCTGCGCAATACGCCGGGTAGAACCTCTGTGATCGCGCTTTCGTGGAGGTCGATAGTGGCTGGCATCGGGGTTCCCCGCTGCCACGTTTCCCCACCATCGTCGGTGTATACAGTGGTGCACGAAATTCCTGCAGGTAGCATCATGTAAGTCGGAACGACGATGCGTCCGGCATGTTCCCCTGCGCGGATTTGAATGGACCGACCTGGTGCGACGAGCGTGTATCGAGAATCTACGGGTCTGAACTGCCGTGTCACCAGTTTTCCCATGTTCCAAGTTCGGCCATCGTCATATGAGTAGATCTCCACGATGTGATTGGTGTTGAAGACCTGAAGGATCGAGTCCTTGTAGAAGACGCGCATCGGAGTGATGCGAGCTGAACCGTGCTGGAACACGTACAGAGAATTCCTGCTTCGAAGAGGTTGAAACCGTCGTCCAAGGAGTATCTTGATCGTCGTCCTAGAGCGAGATTTGAGTCATCGACTCCGGCGGTGGTGTACGGGCGAGGTATACCGATTAATTCATAAATCTGAATGCGACCGTGCTTGTCGCGGGGGCCGTCGAGGTCAGCTACGAGGTCGAATTGGGAACGGTCGATGTTCAGATTGATATTTCCCCTCAATCCGTCGGCGTCCCCTGTGACGTTGTGCGTCGAGAGCAGGAGCATGTCACGTCCGGCAACGGTGGCGAAGCCATCTCCCAGGGGGAACTTTCGCGGGCGCCCACCGTTGACGGAGCCATCTGGGGAGACGTTGAGGTGTTCGAATACTCCGCCGTTCCAGGCCCAGAGATCAATGACGATCATCAGTCGATGTCGAACTGAATCCTCGATGATGGCGCCGTCGATGACGGAGGATGATGCGGGGGCGTACCCATACTTGTTCGAATAATCTCGCATCTCCAATGGTTTTATCAGTGACGGGGCTTCCCAACCGTCGGAGATTGAGTAACGGGATGCATTGGGTTTTCTGCGAATCAGGGCATCGATATTGTCGGCGGAGTCGCCTGTTGTCGCGCGATTTGCATCGCAGCCTATGACCAATGTGTCATTGGCCGTAGACACCATGAACGGTATGCGGAAAAAATGTGATGGCGAATTCTCTCTGTTGAACACCTCGAGTACGTCTGCCTCTTGTGTCGCAAGTGCAGGAGAGTGTTCAGAGAACTGCCCTGTCACACTCAAGAATAAGGCTGCCCCGCCAGAGATTAATGCGGATCGGCGTGAAATCCGTTGGTGCATGCTGAATCCCTAAACGTTAAGTCTTCCGTAGCGTGATTACATTGAATGGGCGATATCTGGTGTTGCTGTGTGAATCACTCCAGCGTGCTGCGCGAAGTGGTAAGCCATGACAACGGGACCTCTGTCAGGAACAAGCCTTGCCACTCCCGTTCCCACAATACGAGCAGGGTCTGTTCGTCTTGCTGAGTCATGCATTGGTACACATGATGGCGAGGGTTGAGCACGCGGTTGTGCGGCCAGGTCTTGCCTCCGTCGAAACTTTGACGCAGCACACCACAACCCCGGAACGGGAGCATCATCGACGCATTGGCAAAGACCACCGATTCGGTTCCAAGCTCATCCCGGACAGAAATGGCATTGGGCTGGGAGAAGATTTCGGTCAGTTGCTCGACGAACGTCACCTCGCCCCATGTTTCGCCGCCGTCGACGCTGGCCGCGTGCGCCACCCGTCCGGAGGGATGTTGGTTGCGCATGAAGGAGTGCACGACCCCGTCAGGGGTTTCTACTAACGCTGACTCATGGGTCGAGCCGCGATCATCGTTGAGATTTCGAGAACTGACGATCTTTCCGAAAAGTTCGCGCTCGTCATTCGGTGACTTACCGAGGTTCCATGTCTGGCCCCCGTCATCGCTGTACACCGCGGCACATGAAAAGGTTTTTCCCTCCTCGTGGTTGTAGTAGACCGGTGCCAGGAGTCGGCCTCGGTGCGTCCCGTGTTCCAACTGAATTCCGTTGCCCGGTGACGTACCGAGGAACCGCATCCAAGGCTGCTTGAGAGCCGGGTTCAGGTTGATAGGTCGTGACCATGTCCGTCCGTCGTCATCACTGTGGATGAGGATGAGGTTGCAGGTCCGTAGGGTCAGCAGGGACTCGTGGGGGTCCACTCCGGTGGCCAAGTGGATATTGCCGGCGGGGGCACCGGCTGCGAAGACGTTTCCGGTTTCGTCAACGGTGTAGTCCGTGGGTTCCCCCGACTCGGTTGTTACGATGCCTTCTGCATCGATGACGTAGGCGGTTGCATCGCGATCGAACAGAAGCTGCCGACCTTGCTCATCGAAGCCCGACCCTGGTTCGGCGTTAGGCTGCCCCACGCCACCCGGGAACTGGTCGATCAAGCAGAACACGCGCCCCGAGTTGTGGTCTTGGAACAGAACTGAGTCGATAACCGATGCTCCGAGGGCGCCCTCGCCGGGATACTCGAGGACTATCTGGGCCTCGTCCCACCGACGACCGTCTTCGCTGCGACGGATGACGAAATTGATGTCGTTGGGGCTGTCGTTGGCAATGCTGACACGTTGGTCTGCCCCGGCGATGAAGCTTCCGGAATCAAGTCTGATGAGCGATGGGATCCGGTAACTTTTCGAGCCCAGATATCCCGTGTCGAAGAGAGCTTGGGTACGTAGAGGAGCCACGTTGGCTAGGCGTTTGACTTGGGCGTCGGTTAGCGCACTGCTGAAGATGGACGCCGTCTGCGCTTCCCCGAATAGCCGTGCTCCTTCGAGGTCCTTCCCGACGGTCACCCTTTCCACCTTGCCAAGATCGGCAAAGAATGCCTCACCAGGCTCGTGAGCCACGAGGAAACCGTCAACATAGAGATCAATGGCACCCCGGCCACTGATTGCTACCAGGTCATGCCAGTTTCCGTCGTCCCACTTGCCTGGAGCGCGCACGTGGGCGATGGGTTCATCGTCCACTTCCACGTGCAGGAGCAGGTCGCCGTTGACGATCTCGAAGGACAGTTCACCGGCGCTCCCTTGGGCTGCGAGGGACGGTTCCACCCTGGCCTTTGCCACGAAGGCGGGTCCTTGCTCGGAGCGCGCCATGAGCGAGTTCTCCGATACGGCGTGCGTCGCGGGCCGACAGCTCAGAACCAGCGAACTCGACGAACGGTGTTGCCGTCGGCGCCTTGGCCGCCATAGCTTGCAAGGACAGGGCTGAGTTCCACATCTTGAATCGCCGTACGTCGAGGACGCCCGACGGATTGATGACAATATTGGTTGCTCCCAGATCCTGGCACCATACCCGCAATGTGGCGGAGAATGTTTCGTAACCGTCTGCAAACAAATGCGTCCCAGTTTCATCGGCGGTGAGTCCGACGGAGTGAATCGTGCCATCTGCCATGCCCAGCGCATCCTCGGCGTCGAGACTGCGAGATTCTCCGTTCAGATCTATACGGCCAAGCAAGCGGTCTTCATCCACATCGACTGATAACCGTCCGTTCTTTCCGACAAGCTCGAACAGGCATCCGGAGGACGTCGCGCTGAATTCCACGAGAAGTGAGCCGTCCTCGCCGTCGATTCGTTGCACGTCCATGCCCTTTCGGGCCGGCAGCAAGGCGCTCCCAGTAAGGTCAATCGCCAATTCCTCGGTATAAGTATCAGTAATAGTCATGATTGACGTCTCCTCGTGGCTTCCCTGACTCGTTCTGGCTGGAGAATATGAATATGTGTTCTGGCTGCCGATTTAGCACTCGCTGGATGCAAACTCGCTCGAAAGGTCGACGCTGTTGATGTACCGGTCATCTCCGTCCTCGGGCCGGACGGCCTCTGGGTTGACGAGAGCCTGTAGCTTGCGTGGCAGATTCAGCCTAACGCCAAGGACAACAATCAGGCCGAAGCCCACGGACAACACCCCTAGAGCCGATCCCAGACCGTGGCTCTTAGCCAGCGAGGCGCCCACAAATGGTCCAATTGCACCGCCGAGAGCTCCGACATTGTAGATGAACCCCACTCCGGCAGCTCGCTGCTCGACGGGGAAATAGCTCGACACCCACCGAGGGGCTAGCCCTGAAACACCTTGGCCGAACAACTGGTTGAAGAACAGTAGAAGCCCAATGAGCCATGCCGACTTAATTCCCGCAAAGAATAGCGGAAACACGATGATCTGCGCTATGAGAATGCTCGTGAAGTACCACTTTCGCATTCCTATCCAGTCTCCCATGAAGCCTGTGACAAAGTAACCAATCATGTTGCCGAATTGTGCGATCGTTAGCAGATTGGCGACGGTGGAAGCTGCATATCCTGCACCCGTGAGGTATGTAGGCAAGAGTCCAAGGATGGGCCATCCATACATGAAGGCAGAAAGGATAACGATCATGATTCCGATGCCGATGACCCAGCGTCGAGGATCAAATTGCACGATGAGACACACGAAGATGGCGCCACAGGCTATGGCCACGGCGAGGACGCCCCAGAAAGGCAGGATGTTGAGGGCGAAGATGGCTAGTAGACCTGCCATTGCCGCGATGACGAGTGTGATGTTTAGTGACATGCGCCTTCCGCTGAACAGCACCTGGAAAGCGTCACGTGATTCGGACGATTTTTCCCGCTCGCGTGACTTTGCCGTTTCCCAGTCGCTAGCTTCGGGGAGGCGACGTCGCATGTACAGTGCCACTGCGATGGGCACGATTCCGGTGATGAACAGGGCTCTCCAACCCCATCCGGCATGCCAACTGTCGGCCCATGGGACTAAGTACTTGTCGACCTGGACGGCCAGGATGGCGCCTATCGCATAGCCTGACAACAGAAATGACGATGCCTTGCCGCGGATTCGGGGGTGCCACGATTCGATGACATATGTTGCCGATGACCCGTACTCTCCCGCCATCGCGAAGCCGACGACCATGCGCATAATGAACAGGAACATGAAGTTCGGCGAAAATCCCATGAGGAGCGAGCCGATCGCGAACAATACGGTTGCGATGATCATGGCTGGCTTGCGTCCGAACCTGTCGCCAACACCGCCCAGGATTAGTCCGCCCAGCCACCGTGTGATGAAGGCTGCTGACACCAACGCTGCGCTTTGTACCAGGGTGAGGCCAAAGGCCGCCTTGATCTCTGGCAGTGCCAAGGTGATGAGCACGAAGTCGTAGCCGTCAAGGGTGACACCAATAAGGGCTGCAATGAAGAGCTTCCACTTGGTGGCGTCTAAGTACTGCCACCATCGTCTCTTGTCACCCATCTCCTTGATGGTGATGATGTCGTCTGAGCTGGCCATGAGCCCCCAATCGTCGTTGATCCAGGAAGTACGTTAGACGTCCAACATTTTGAAGATAAGTGGTTGCCGATATGCTGGCAAGCCGATGTTCCCGGTCGCTCACGCTAAATGATCGGTGGCGGTGATCCGTGATTGTTGGTGCGATTTCTGCGGGGTGGGTTTTGCGACCCAGTTGAGATCGTGCTGAATACATGGCTGTAGGAGGCTACGATGCCGCGTACATACGTCCTTGACATGATGACTCATGGTTGGCGGATCCGTATACTCCGCTGTGCAGGTGAATTACGTCGATTAACGCGCGCCTGGCGCCTGGTACAAGGCGCTGGCCTGCTTACGGCGGTGGTAGCTGATCATGCCGCGATCTCGCGTGAGACGATGAACTGTCTGGACGACGGCTACGTACACGTGGATCTCGACATGGTGTTGAACGTCGTTGTGACCCCGGGTATCAAGGTGCATCGTCACGGTTGTCGCCCCCTAATGAATGGACATTGCCGAAGCTGTGCGGCGACGCTACCGGAAACGCTCGGTAAGTTTTCCCGAGGGATGAGGGTGGCGATAGTGGTGCGCACCGCCTCGGAGAGAAGATGTGTGTTACGGCGCCTCGCGTAAAGACAATTTTCTTCTGCACAGCGCACTCGGTGCCTTGCCCGCACGCAGGCGGGCAAGGCACCGAGTGTTGATGTCAATTAGCGAGTGCGTTCTGACTCAGGCAGCCTTCTTGACATCGGGGGAGTTGAATGCGGTCTGATAGGCCGCAAGGAGCTCGGTGCGTGCAGCCTGGATATTCCCTACGGTCGTCTTTGGGTTCAGTCGAACGCCGACGGCCTTGGTGATCGCGTGATTGAGCGTCTTGTACACTGCGGCGCTCTTGTGACCAAGGATGTACCGGTCACGGTTGGCGCGCACCTGCCAGATCGTCTTACTGAAGTTGGTGCGTACGTACACAGTGGCAACGTCATTCGGGGTGAGGTCGGGGGTACTGCGAGACCTTTTCCAGGCGAGCCTTGAGGGCGGCGCCCTCGGCGTCGAGTTCCTTGGCGGTGGACGCTGGGTTAGCGGTCAGCAGGACGGCCTTGGTGACTTCGAGACCGAGTTCGACGTGGGCGGGGCTGACCTTGTTTTGGAGAGTGGTGGTAGCAGTGTGAATGGTGTCAATAGTGGTGGCGACCAACTTGATCCTCGGCATGATCGTCGAAGGGTCGTAGAACGGGATCCCCCCATGGGCAAGGGTCTCGATGAGGCCACGCAGGTCGAAGGCAGCCTTGAGAAGATCTCGGATCTGGTCAGAGTAGTCAGAACCGGGGACGGATTTCTGTACTGACTGAAGGGTCGCAATATGTGCGTTCAGAAGCTGGATGCTATTGCGAGCGTCACTGGCCGAGAGCTCGTGGGTGCTGGTCGCCGAGATGGTCGTCGTCGGCTCGACAGCATGAGCACTGGGAGCTGACAGCGCCGCTGGTACGAGCATTGCGCCGACAAGGAGGGGAGCTACAAGATGGGTCTTCTTCATAAAGGTTCTCCGTTTATTGGTTGCGGATGCCCCGGTCGAGGCAAGCGAAGTGTATCGGATATTTTGGATGGGGGTCGGTGTGGTGAACGGCGTGTACGCCGCCAACATTTGTTGGAGCTGTGATCAGGCGTGCGTCATTCCGACAGGGGCCCGTGTGGTGTATGGCTACGACGGTGCATAGACCCGTCTAGGCTTGTTGCAGGCGTGACCAGATGGTATGCCCAATACACCGAATATGAAGTTAATGCGCGGGCAATTCGAGATCTTCCGTTCTGTAATCTTGGAGGTCAAGAACTGGTGAAAGTGCCTTTCTGGGGATCTGCTCTGAGGTGCCCACGATATGGTTGAGTTCATCCCAGTGTGGAGCATTTGGTCTTCAGGAATAATACCCCCTGATCGGGTGTCGGATGCGTGTCCAGGTTAGCTTCATCATCACGTGTTTGCATGGCACTGAATCGGTCAAGTTGAGTCAATGAAACAGTTCATACGGCTATCGCTGATTGAGTCAATGTGGTTGATTGACGTTGGTTGGGATTTCAGTACGCATCTTCAATGTGAGGGCGTATGGGTTTGCTGGTTTGCATGGTGGTCATGCTGCTCCTGATGGAGAGTGGTTCGATCAAAGTGTTTGCTGCGGGTGCGCTTCTAGGCCTATGGCTGGGGTGTATGCGGATGGTGGAGTCGGAGTCCGTTAAGGAGCGGAAAGCCGGGGCCCGTGTTCGGTTGTGGGTAAAAAGAGGGAATGATTGGGTCGGGGTTGGGTATCAGGATGTGCATGTATTCCAAGGTGGTGGGCGTGGAAAAGGGCAGGTGTGTCAGTATAATGCTATGGAAATAAGAAAACTATTTTTCGTGGCCAAGTTGATGTTTTAAAGGAATGATTGACACTCTCGAGCGGGTCAATTCACCTGATGAGCCGCTGCCGTGCTCTCCGTGGTGATGGTATATGCAGGCCTACGACGGAATCAGTAAGGAGGTTTATGGGAGAATTCATAGCTGTCGTCGTCACTGTTCATCTCCACTCTGATGATGTTGGTTGCGTCGATGATATCGACGAATTGAGAATACTTCTCAATTCCACTGAGGCTCATGGGTGCCTTCCTTGATGTGGCTGTCCTGGTCAAGAGGGAACGTTGGATGTCCGGGATCGTTGACAGTGATGTATCTGTGTCGGATACGGTCGTCCTGCGGCTCGACTCACATCGACAACCGCACACCCGAGCGGGACCTGCGTAGTAGACGATGTCCGCCGTGACCGGAAGAGTTCTGCGATGACGTGTTCCCGGCGATATTGAAGCGTTGGCTATTCGATGTTGTGTCTTTTTGATGCAGGGGCGGCCCCACCTCATGCGAGCCGTTCGACGTGCGTCCCAGCTCTAGGAGGTCGCACCGTCACTCCTTGGCCGCGAATGGTGCAGGTTTCGCACCGTCGCGGTACCCGGTGACGATCGTCACCGGACGCTCGCCGCGAGCTTCCATAGCCTGCCGATAGAGGCGGCCAGCCCGGTAGGAGGATCGCACAAGCGGTCCGCTCATCACACCGACAAATCCAATCTCGCGGGCCTCTTCGGCTAACTCATCGAACTCCTGAGGCGTCACCCAACGGTCGATGGGGTGTAGGTAGGAGTTCGGGCGCAGGTACTGGGTGATCGTCAGCAGGTCGGTGTTGGCGTCATGGAGTGCCCGCATGGCCTGTGAGATTTCTTCACGGGTTTCGCCCATGCCAAGAATGAGATTTGACTTGGTGATCAGACCGGCCTCATGTGCAGAGTCCAGGACGGCCAAAGAACGGTCGTAGCGGAATCCGGGTCGAATGCGCTTGAAGATGCGGGGGACTGTCTCAAGGTTGTGACCGAAGACCTCCGGGCGCGCTTCGAAGACG